CCCCCCCCCGCCCCCCCCCCCCCCCCACCTGGCAGCATTGGGAACCAGGGAGTCTCCGTGGACGATTGGTACCCGGCCCTCAGCGTGGCCAAGGAGGACCTTTTTAACTCCCTCACCGCCGGCGGCATCGCCGCCTTCCCCGGGATCAAGGAGCTGATCGCCGCCGCGCGGGGGGCGGGCTTGGGCGTGGCCATCGCCTCGTCGGGCAGCCCGGGCAAGATCGCGCGGAATCTCCAGTCCTCCGGCCTGGCCGGCCTGGTGCCGGAGGAGCTGGTGAGCAACGTGGCTGTGGCAGGGAGAGGGAGAGGGGATGTGTGCTCGCCCGCTGAGAGCCTGTGTCGGGCATCATCGCGCCGTAGCACCCCGTTGCTCTGCCAGCCGCATGCCGGCTCCACCCCCCGGCCCCACTCCTCCTCGAGCATCGCACCTCCACGATGCTAGTCACCAAACCATACGCAACTTGCAGACGGTGAGCGCGGCCTACGTGGCGAGGGGCAAGCCGGCCCCAGACGTCTACCTGGAGGCGCTGCGTCGCCTGGGCTGCGCCGACGCCAGCCGGGCCCTGGTGATCGAGGACGCAGTGAACGGGTGCCGGGCGGCCAGGGCCGCAGGCTGCTTTGTCGTGGGGGTGACTAATACCCTGCCCCGCGCCATGATGGCGCCGGCGGCCGATCTGGTGGTGGACCATGTGTCTGAGCTGGAGGGGGTGCTTGTGCCAGCAAAGAGGGCCTGAGGTGGAGAGAGCCCGGGTGTTGAAACCATGCCCTTCCCCGAAACAAGTTGCCTGTGGGGGCGCCGGGATTGATCCACCGCCATTTTCCCTGGATCTGAGTGGCAGCTCTGGGCCTGAGTGCACACCCAGCTCTGAATCACTCGGAACTCGCTCTGGTACTTTTTGTGCTGGAGGTTGGTGTCCCCAATAGGGTTCTGTGCAGCGACACCATCAGGAAGCCGTGCAGACAGCAGGCCGTGATTGCCCTCAGCAGGGCAGCATCAGACCTGGTATGCCATGGGTGGTTCCACTGTCCTTGAGGTCGGCCCTCGGCGCCCCCTTCCTTCCCCGGCTTCCAGTGAGCTTGGCAGCGCGCAGCTTCAGGTACTCCCTGTGGTGGGTTGCTTGTGGGCAGTGCTTGGCAGTGGATGAAGCCATCACTGGCCCCGCAGCCATGCCAGCAAGTCTACAGGCCGGCAGTGCCAGTGGCACTGCATGAAAGGGCCCCCCATCCACCCACTTGTCGATGATCCAGTCGTCGTCGCTGGAGTAGGAGTTCAGCTCAAAGACGGTGTCATCGATGACATCAGGCTCCCCCATCACGCCCACCAGCCGCCCTCTGGCCTTTGCCGTCAGAGTGGGGCCGTTCTTCTTGCTCTGCAGGGGTGGTGGGTGGGAGGGCAGCCAGCCGGCTCAGAGGAGCAGTGCTCCCAGGCGCGACAGGTTCATTGTCTTACCAGACATTCATTCCCCGAGTATCGCCCCAACACAACTCGTGCAAACAGTGGCAACTCAGAGCGCTTCCTCGCTCCCACCACTGTCTGCATGACGCTGCCACTCACCACCGACAAGGCCAGCGCGTCTGCAGCCGAGGCGAGCCAGGGAGGACCCACGTGTGTGCTCCGCCTGAAGCCCTTCCGCAGGAGCTTCTCGCTGGCTGCATGGACGAGCAGCTCCCTGCCACTCGCGTGGGGTGCGGGGACGGCGGCAGGAGCAGCGCCTGCTGTAGCCGCTGCCTGCAATGCTGGCGCACGGCCATCTTCTTCCGTAGCTGTGCCGTGCATGCCAGGGGCTGGACTGCCATCCTGACAGGCCTCACTCTCCCTCTCTGGGGTCTGGGTGTTGCTTGGTCCTGCTGTGCCTGCGACATCTCCTGCTGATTGCTGGAACACCCCCTCTGGGTATTGTTGTCTGTCCCTCCTTTGCAACAGCTTTCGCAGCCCCTCCTCCACACCCTGTTTAGCGAGGGGTTGCGGAGCGTGTGAAGGATGCACCGATGTTCGACCTGGCTCTCACAGGGACGAAGATCTTGGGTAAGCCAGCATGCCACATCCCCCCTGCAGTGTCCACACATTCCACCGCCAAAACCAGCACGCACAGTGCAGAGTTGCAAGACCAGTGTCTCATTCATCAAGGTCGCGACCGAGTAGTGAGAGTCCTCTGGTGTGATCACATTGTCTTCAGCATCCATGCTTGCTGTGCCCTGAGGCTGGCCGACCACGGACGTGAGGATCCTCTGGATACACCTCAGCCCCTGCGTAAGGGGCGAGCAACTCGCTTGCCGCTCTGGGTGCTGCGACACCTCAACATCTGGAGTTTCCTGGATTGCTATTCCCAGATTTCAGTCGTGTGTTGAGAGCAATAGCAAAGCGTAGTCTCCTTCTGCCCCACTGCAGCATCCACTTGCCTGTTCGGCGGCAGTCGTGATGCTGAGGAGCCGTTTCATACTCTGTCGCTGCGCCGCCCTCTCCTGCTGTGCGGACTCGAGCGCCACCTGGGCCTCCTCCAAGGCCGCGCTGGCCTCACCTTCTGCAGCATTGGTGAGGCGGGTAGATTCAGTGATCAATTTTGCATGGTGGGGGGCAGACAGGAAGCTGTCTCCTGGGTAGGCATGCTCTTTGACTGCACACCCGCTGATCGATGTCCCCAGCAATGTCCTTTACCCCAGCGAGTGAGTGCAGCCCGCTGCACCAGTCCATCTCCAGATCTAGACCCTAGCAGCCACCCACGCACCCCCCAGCCCGCCGATCTCAGATGCTCGGGATGCTTGTCGCTGGAGCTGGAGCTCCGCGGCATGCGCCGCCCTGCCTTCTTCCAGAGCCGCCCTGACCTCCCCATCCTGCACGTCTGCCAGTGCCGCGAGCTCCTTCATCGCCTCCTCCTTGGCTTTCAGCTCTGCATGAACACAGGGGGGGTGGATGGATGGGACTCGCAGCATGTGGAGAACGAGCTGGTGGATCCGAGCCCCCTTGGACTCTCCAATCAATTTTCGTCAGGTGCCGCGGGAAGAATGAGATGCAGGTGGAGGCCAATCACAGAGAGACTGCCTGACCAGGCTCGTCCCTTTGGTGATGGGTTGGAAGGGGTGGGCAGGCCACACAACCCAGCCTCCAGTCCCTCAGCACTCCAAAGTCCAGCCCTCACCCTGCCAGAAAGCAATGACTCCGTCAGGGTGGAGTGCTCCGGTGGCAGCATGCAGCCTGTTCCACTGTCCCTCCAGGATGTCAAGGGGCGCAGGGGGCGGGAACCGACGCGCTGCGGCCTGAGAGCCGTCGCTGGGAGCCTCTCGCTGGTCGGAGGCCAGGGAGGACTCCCGCAGCAGACGCTCCTTCGCTTCCTGTAGAGTCAGGGTCAGGACAGGGAGCACCATCGTGGTGTGCGACGGGGGAGGGGCACGAGGCGGCATGCAATGACCAGGGTGTGCCAGGCTGTGCAGGCTGCGCTGAAGCCCCGCCGAGGGGAACACATGCAGGAGACTCTTGCACCTGGCGCCACCCTCGCACCCGGGCCCTGACGGCGGCCTCTAGTCTGGCGCGCCTGTCGGCATTCTCCCTTTCCAGCAGGCGCACCGTGGGGGGGGGGGCAATCTGTGCTGAGGCCACAGGGCGCGTGTCGATGCGAGGATTGGTTCGAGGCCCGTGCATCGGGTGTCCACCGGCCCGCTGGCTTGAACTTGACGACCCAGTCCAGACAGACGATTCCAACGTCACCCCAGAGCACCCACCTCTTTTGCCCGTTCCTTGACCTTCTTGTGCCAGTCCGTCAGGACTTGCTCGGACATGGTGGCCGCCTTGTGCAGTGCCTGCTCGGCAGCTTCCCGAGCAATGCTGGTGTCGTGCACTGCCTGCACCAGGGTGGCTTCGTCCTGGCTTGCCGCCTCCTGCAGGCGAGTGGCCTCCAGCAGCGCCGCAGAGGCCTGGGCCTGGTCGCGCCTGGGGTGGGGGTGGGGGGGGGAGGCAGAGCGTGATGCCGATGGCCATCCCATGGTCAAGAGGCCGAGGCTGGCATCGAGCCCACTGGCTGAGCAACCTTGGACCTAGAAACACTGTCCTGGGTGAGCCAGACACCGCTCAGCAGAGGTCCCTCACCTGGCCTTGGCCTCTGCCGCTGCCGCTGCGGTCCGAGCCGCTTGGAGGGACGTGATCTCCGACTGGGTGGCCTCCAGCGCCGCCAGCGTGGCGGTGGCGGCATCCTCGGTCTCGCTCGGCCCAGGGATCATGAGCATTTGGATGGCCAGACTCTCCCCCTCCAGTTCCTTCTTCCTGTTGCGGAAAATGGCTCTTGAGGGGGTGTTACGGCCAAAGCCCTTGAACAATGCGATATTCTGCTCGAGTGAGGCCAAATGTAGTGCATCACAGCCGGCCAGGCTGCATAAGTTGGGCTCCCGTGAACTGTCCGACCCCTGGACCTCCTTGCCTCGTCTGCAGCACGCGAACCTCCTCACGCAGTTCATTGAGTCTTTCCTTCTTTGCAGCCACCTCCCGAAGCAAGGCTGCAATGTCTTGCTGCTGCAGCTCACCTCCTGATGGGAGCGAATAACGGCACAAGATGCAGGTGGGGTTTCCCAGGCATGGAACATGAGAAAGGGACACTGCAGGTGCTCGCAGGGCCAAGATTACCTACTGGACCGAGTGCTCAGGTTTCTGCCCCACACAGTCTGGTTGACGGCTACTCACAATCTAAAACCTGCGAATCCTGCTCACCCGACTTCCCAACTTCATTCTTCAGACTGATCAGGGCGCCCAGCAGACCCTGGCGCTCTGCCTTGACTTGAGCCAGTTGGCGACGCTGGGCATGGGACAGGAGGCGACGCATGAGCTCAAGCCATCAACACTCCTCCACTTCGCTGTGCAGTGCCTGCCCATGCGCTGGGTGGCAACCTACCCTGGAGCTCCCCTGCAGTCTCACGGCATCTCCTCAGTCCCCTGCTGACACTCACAATCACTTCGTCCTCGGGCAGCTCGAACTCCCGCGTCGTGGTGGATCCAGGTTTGGAGCTGAGGTACTTGGTCTTCTGGCCCTGCGGGGCTGCCTTGGCTGCCACCTTGGGGTGCCCAGCCAGGATCTTGGAGAGCTCGGGAGCCGCCTGCACAACGGTGGGTGGCATTTCGGAGATTCAACTCTGTTGTGTCTAGATCCAAAACGACCCTGGGACCCCCTGATGTCCAGATCACCTTGACGAGCTCATCCCGCAACAGGAGCTTGGGGAGGCAGAGCGTAGATTTCTTTGCTTTCGCCATTGAGCTGGAGACCTGCGATCCGGCCTCCAAAACAGATTGATGGCCGGACTAGCAGCTTGAAAGCAGCATTGCGTCAGTCAGGACCAGGAATCTCTCTGTGGGTCCGGGCAGCAGTGTCGGACATGTCTGTTCAACCGGGTCAAGGGTAATGCCAAGTACCGCATGTGGGGCAACACAGCATCCCTTCAAAGACAATTTGGCCTGACTGACCAATACCTCGCAGGAAGGACCGTGCCTCGCTCTCATTGGTGCGTCAAGGGCACCCCTAAGGCTCATTCTCATTGGCAATGGCAAGAAAGTTAGAAGTCCACCGCGACGACAAAGCTTCCGTGATAGCCCAGCCCCATCGAGAAAACGGCGATTATTCTGCAGACCGGACATCGGTAGAGATACACCTCGAGAGCCTGTCAGAAAGGGCCAGGGCCGGATCAACCTTTAAAGGCCGGCGCACAGTGCCGTCACTGGGGCCATGTCACCGGCGAGGTGTGATCGTCTGCATGGGACATTGCAATATGAAGCAAGTGCACTCCCTGGTAACGTAAATGCTCAATGTCTTAGTATCACCCCTGCAGGTCCAGGAGCGCGTCTCCCCGGGAGCGCAGCTTGAGCAGGAGTCCCAGCCGCGACCTCATCTCCGACCATTCCCGCAGCCCCAGCCGTACGTGTGCCGCCTGTATGACCCTCGATGCCGCTTATTTGTCTGCTGCCCCGCCCCGGCCCTCCCTGCCGCGACCGCCCGGCCATGCGCCCGCCCGCGAAGCGTGATCTTCTTCCCACCCTCCACGCCCGCAGCCGCGCCTCGGGCTGCCTCCCGCAGTCCCCGCCGGGACTCCCGGTCCCCAAGCCGCAAGACCACCCGCAGCCCTGCTCGCAGCAACGACTCGCGCAGCCCCGCACCCAGGAGGGGGTCGCGCAGTCCCGCCCGCCGCGGCCGTTCTCGCAGCAGATCGCCTGCTGCGGCTTCTCGCCCAGGATCATGGAAGGTGAGGGTCACAGCAAGCCGGGTGCTGCAGGGCCATGCTGCCAGGGCGTGCCAGGCCTCTGTGTGGGAAGAGCAGCCGCTAAACCATGCCTCGGTGCTTGCGATGTTCAGGCGAAGCTGGAGGAGCTCTTCGACAAGGGCACCCTCAAGAGCTCAGACTTGGACGACGCCCTGATGTCAGACATGGCTGGTGAGTTTGGGTGGCGATGCAGTGGGTGGGGGAAAGAGGTTGGGAGGGGTGCCAGGCGGGGGAGCCGCAGCGGATGGGGTGGCAGTCGGTGCTCCAGGGCATGCTCTGAGGAGCTCCAAACCGGGCCACGCACCGCTCACCTCCCCTGCCCCGTCTGCCCTCCCTGTTGCTGGACCCTCTGTCTTCCCCTGATGCTCCACCAACCCATCCCTCACCTCCATGCAGCTCTGGGGGAGGAGGGCGCCCTCTGCGTCGTCCAGCGCCTGTCCGAGTCGGACTTTTCGCGCGTCCACTCCATCGGCGGCTTTGTCAGTGGCATCATCCGCCGCGTGCGGCAGGACGGCCCCGACCGCGGGAACGGCCAGATCGACATCCTGCCGCGCTCCGTGAGGCGCCGGGTAGAGGACCTGATCGCCCAGGTGTGGTGGGTGGGATGAAGCGGCAGGCAGGGGAGTGGGGATTCTCACTTCATGGGGCCGGCCCACCCCCAAAAAAGGAGAGTGTGCGCTCTGAAAATCCTGGTTGAGGGGTGTCCCTCTCTGCCCCCGGGCAGGGAGTCGGTGCTCTGTCCCATGCAGACTGCTATCCGGCAGCCCTCGGTGCTGGACCCACATCAGCCCCTTCTCGCCTGGGCCCCTCCCCATGCATGGCGGCCGACTCGCGCCCACCCATGTCCCTCGATGCGCAGGACAAGATTGGGAAGCATGAGGTGGATGCCCGCATGGTCCGGGCCCTGGCCGACCTGCCAGAGCGGCTGGGCGAGGAGGCCTGCACGCGCTTCGATCAGAGCGTGGACTCGGGGGTCCGCTCCCGCCAGGGCTTCATGGTGGGTTTTGAGGGTGGCATCTGTAGGGGGTGATTGATATGGCGACCGCCCGGCCCCGCAGCTCAGAGTGGGCCGGGAACGGTTGCAGTTGACGGTCTTGCGCAGAGAGGGCGTGGAGCAGGCCGTCGAACATGCCACCAAGCACGCACATGCACCCCTTGACCCGTGTAGATGGGCATCATCAAGCGTCTGGTGGAGGAGGACCGCTTCGGAAGGCCCCCGCCAGCGGGCTACCGAAGGAGCGGGTGGGTGGGGTGGAGCGGGATGCTGGATGGACAGTCATCAGCGGACCTGTGCCAGACCTGTCTGGAGGGCTGGCAAGGTTCCTATCGCGCTGCTGGCTTGCTCAACTCCTTTCTGGGGGACCTTTTGCATCCTTGGTATGTGGCAATCTGACACATATATCGTGGACCTTCTCCCTCAGGGCCAGCTATGGCGGCGGCGGTGGCTATGGCGGCGGCGGCGGTGGCTACGGCAGCGGTGGCCATGGCAGTGGCGGATATGGCGGTGGCGGATATGGCGGTGGCGGCGGGTACGGTGGCGGCACTGGTGGCGGGTACGGCGGGTACGGTGGCGGTGGCGGCTATGGTGGTGGGTCGGGGGGCTACGACCGCGGGTATGAGCGTCCCAGATACGATGACCGGCCACGCTACGAGGAGCGCCCACGCTATGACGACCGCCCCCGCTACGACGACCGGCCACGCTACGACGATCGGGACCGCTATGAGCGTCGCTACTGAGGGGGAGGGAGCTTGCGATGGGAGGGGCGGGTGCCGTCCTGGGTATTTGCCTCTGCCGCTCTGGCCAAAGCCAGCCCTGTTGATCTGATTCTTGTGTGCACCCTCCCGGTAAGAAGTCGGACTGCAGCAAGGGAGTACAGGGGCTGCAGAGGGCTTGAATTGGAGCCTGCTGCACGGCGGGTCAGGAGGACCTTATCCTCGAGCATGACGTGGCACCAGGCCGGGGATGCCGAGTTTACGAACAATTGGGCGAGTGCCACCGGAAGCCTCCTGCGCAGCAAAACCAGAACTTCGAGGCAAAACTCACCTGCTCTGACCGATTATAATGCGTTCGTGAAATGAGCACAATGTATACTACCATGGGGCCCGCCATGGACAGCCTTCCTGGGATGTCCCGTGTGCTTCCCTTGGGCACAGGCCACACCTCGCAATTGAAGCCATGGCGGACGAGGCCTTTCATGACTCATTCAAAAGGAACACGAAACGGACGTGTACATCGTATCAAGGTTTGTGAGGTCCCAGCGCTGTATGGTCTGCAATGCTCGCGTCTCGGAGCATGAAGGTGCAGCATAGCCTTCAACAACCCCCCATCGCGCGCAGAGGAAGGTGGCCGAGGTACAGTACTCCCCCGCCCCACAGCCCCTGGAGAGGACCACCTCTTCGAGAAAGCCGTCGCTGCGTGTGACCGAGGCAGCTTCCCTGCCTGACCTGTGAGGTAGCGGTGTCAGTGACCCGCATGTGTCTCCCTGCCAGGTTGGTGCAGCGCGCCGCATGCCTGATGGAACATCGACCCACCTCTGAACATTTTCTATGCTGTTCTTTCCTCATGTAGGTGGCAGCAACTCTCTGAAGTCCATGGCGATGCTGTAGCGTTTGTTGACCCCCACCAGCAGCCTGTCAGCTCCATCACGTTCAGGCAAGGCGCCCATGGAGTCGAGCAATGGCGTGCCCGGCTAAGGCCTGAGTCAACCTACCAGGACATCCAAATGGTCAGTGTATGCCTGATTATGACTGTCTCACCTGTCCAAGCCCCAGCCCAACAATTTATGTGCCACAACAGGGAGTTCTCTGAGACAATCGATCGCTTTGCAGCCGGCTTGCAGAGCCTAGGATTGGAGAAGGGGGAGCGGGTGGCCTTGTTCTCAGAGGGCAGCTCACGGTGGATGGTGGCTGACCAGGGCATCATGTCAGCGGGGGGCGTCGATGCGGTGAGGGGGGGGGGTCGTGCAGAAAATGGTGTGCATCTGGTGTCCATGTAAACAGTCTTCAGGCACCCCGCGACTTTGGCCGAGCCTGCAGCATAGCATGCCTACTTGCGTGCTATGACCACATGTACCTCCAAAGCATGCTCGATGGCTTCTTCATAGGTGCGTGGTACTGCAAACCCGGTCGAGGAGCTGGAGCAGATAGTGCTCAGCTCGCAGGCGTCAGGATTAGTCATCCAGGATGCATCGAGCCTGGCCGCGCTCCTGCCCCGACTGTGCGAGGTGAGATGAGGGTCCCGAATGGGAGACTGGGATGGTGTGCCTGAAGGAAGGCAGCAGCCAGAATACTGCCGGCAGACTTGCATCGATGCCCCACATCCTACACTGACAAGCGCTCTTTCTCAGGAAGCCTCTCACCGTGACCGCCCTGCAGGGTGTGCCCCAGCGTCAGCTCAAGTTTGTGGTGCAGCTGTGGGGGGATGTGGCAGAGGAGGCACGTGCGGCGCTTCCCTGCTCGGTGTTGTCCTATGCCGAGCTGCTGGCTCGGGGGGCGGAGACCTCCCTGCAGCGAGTGGATTTGACAGAGGATGACCTGGCAACGCTGGTGTACACATCTGGCACCACGGGCAACCCAAGGGTGAGTGCGCCTGTGTGGGGGACAGTGGGGCGAAGGATGGGCATGGAGGCGCCTAGTGCAGCCTGGGGGAGGGGCCTGCAGGTGTGATATTCAGTCGCTGTCTGACATGATCATGGCACAGCTTTCTGTATGTTCTGACAAATCCCAACGTGTCCATCTCCATCCCAACAGGGCGTCATGTTGACCCACGGCAACCTGCTGTACCAGCTGCGCTCCTTTCCCACGCTCCTGGAGCTGAAGGCGGGGGAGTCCACCCTGAATCTTCTGCCGCCGTGGCACATTTATCAGCGCACATGCCAGTGCGAGAGAGGGGGTGGGGGGGGGGGGCAAGGAATCGTCAGCGTCAGCATGCAGGGGCATGAGGTTGTGTGTGGCTTGAGGCTCTGTGTGCATGCCTCTGTCAGGGCCCGACTGAGCCAGATGGAGCCTGCAATCGAAGCCGACCCCCTTCTGCTCCCCCCTAAAATGAACAACAGGTATTACATTGCCTCCTGCGGCTGCCGTCAAGTGTTCACCTCCGTCCGACATGTGCGCTGGAAGGGGCGGTTGTAGAAGAGGGTGACCCATGCCGACACTGGGTGTGGGGAGACGGCTTGGCTGTGCAGGCTCTGCGCGCGAGGGCAGTGCGCCAAGCCAGCTCGGCGCTGCATCTTGCCGTGTCGCTCCGGGCGGTGGCTCGGCGTAGCTTCGTGCAGCTGAGGCGTCCTGGCGCCCCGGAGCCCCTTTCCAACGCGACCAGCCACACTGCATCCATCCCCATGGCCTCAATGGCAGCCTCGTCACTCCATTTGCACCCTCTCCAAGTACTCCTTTCCCCCCCACTGACCCTGTGCAGTTCCGGGACGACCTGCAGCGACACCCCCCCACCTACTTTGTGTGCGTCCCCCTGGTCCTGGAGACCCTGTACTCCAGGGTCAAACACATGCTGACCAGGGCCAGCCTGGTGAGGCGCACCCTGGCGACGAGCCTGCTGGCCGCTGCGCTGGCCTACACGCGCGCTCGGCGGGTCGTGAATGAAGAAAGTCTGGCGTATGTGTGCACTGGCACGCCCCTGCTGGCCTTTGCCAGAGCCTGGCTGGTGACCATGCTACTGGCGCCACTCAACTGGTGAGTGGCTGCGCAGAGGGTGCCTCAGGAACAGGGTGTGCCGCCCAGATTGTGTGGTGGGCACGCCCACGGCACGATTGCATGGTGCTCGCATGATGCGCTGTGTGCAAACTTGTGGCCAGTGCCCCAGACATGCACCAGCCCACTTTGGCCCCCCTGACCTGTGCCCCAGGCTGGCACAGAAATTGGTCGTCAGCAAGGTCCGGGCCGGCCTTGGAGTGAGCAGGGGCATCGTCTCCGGTGGAGGGTCCTTGGCTGCCCACCTGGACGACTTTTACGAGGTGCGGCAGCTTGCTGGTGCCACGGCGGCCTGAGGGGCCTGGTGAGGGCGTAGGCTACACACAGGGGCGCCGGCGAGCTGGACTCGGTGCCTCCCTGCCTGAACCTCAGAGCCGGCTCCACCTCCCCTCCGGCCACAGGCCATCGGCATCCCGGTGCTGAATGGGTGGGGCCTGACCGAGACGTCCCCAGTCCTGGCCTGTCGCTCCATGACAACCGGCCCCAACATCCGCGGGTCGGTGGGGAGGCCGCTGCCCGGGACGCGGGTGCGGGTGGTGGACCCGGGGTCAAGGGAGGAGGTGCCCGACGGCACGCAGGGCCTCCTGCTGGCCAGCGGACCCGGCCTCATGTCAGGCTACTGGAACGATGCCCTCGGCACCGCGGCAGTTCTGCTCGAGTCCCAGGGCCAGAGGTGGTTTGACTCCGGGGACCTGGGCTGGAAGGTGCCGGAGGCTGGGGGCGCAGCAGCAGGGGCTCTGGTCCTCTCCGGTGAGTGCTTGGGACTGTACGCTGGGAATGAAGGACTTTTGGGGGGGGGGGAGGATGCATGGTCGTGCTGCTGCAGTGCCTGGAGCTCAGCGGTCCGGTGCTCCCAACACTGCTGGGAGCTGCATCCCTCAGGCCGCCTGGTAGGCTGCCTGAGCCGCGACGCCACTCCCCTCTTCCACAGGACGTGCCAAGGACACGATCGTGCTGTCCAATGGCGAGAACGTGCAGCCCCAGTCCCTGGAGGACGCCATCTGTACCTCGCCCTACATAACCTTTGCTGTGCTGGTGAGCAATGGGCGCTGGATGGCGTTGTGCTGGGCTAGGGGGACCGAGAACTAACAACGCATTGGGTGGTCCACATTTCTGACGGGATGACCGGCTGGGACCACTCCATCTCAACTCCCAGCTCCCCGCTCAACCTGCTTCCCAATGTCTGGAATGACTCCACACCTTGCCCCCCTGTTCGAGGTGGGTGACGGCCATCGTGCCTTGGGCGCGCTGCTGGTCCCCAACCGCGAGACGCTGGGGGAGGTGCCTGGGGCGATTGATGATTCAGGTGAGGGTGCGCAGAGGCTGTGGCCAGGACCCCGCCCCCCCTCTCCCTGAGCTCGTGGCTCCTGGCGTGGTGGCCGGGATGCTGGCACTGCAGGCTGGCCCTCTCGTTGAGTGGAGGGACTTTTGCCAGCCCAGGGCCATCAAGGAGCACAGGTGGACCCTAGCACCCACATTTGCGATTTGGCCAACTCCCTCTACCCTGTCCCTGCCCCAGGTGCCCTGGACGTCAAGCTTGTGACAAGCCTGCTGAAGGCAGAGGTGACCAAGGCCTGCGTCGGCCGGGCTCCCTGGGAGAAGGTGCACGCTGTGCACGTCCTGCAGGATCCATTCAGGTGATTGTGACGGTAGCTTGAAACCATCAGCCCAGGACCTGCATGCATTGCTCCTGCTGGGCTCAATAGTCCCACAGTCGACCAAAACCATCCACCCCTCGTCCCCCCAACCCATGCAGCATGGATGATGGCACCCTGACCCGAACGATGAAGCCCTGCCGTCCAAAGATCCGGATCAAGTATGCCTCTGAGGTCAAGTCCTTGGAGGCAGCACTGCGCTGATATTCCGCGTCCATCGAGCTGACACGAAACCTTCGCCTGGCCTTGGCGGCAGCCAGGCCCCAAATTCAATTGTATACTCTGATTTGGATTGTGGGCCGGACTTGCCATGCCCAGCGAGCCATGACACCCCCAGCCCTTCCAACACGAATGACCCTTTAAACTACCCAGTGCCCGGACTCAACAAGACCTGGCCCCCTTCCCATAGCTCCCTTCTGGCTGCATACAGCGCCAGCCTCAACCTCTAGCGACCCACCTGCACCCCACGCATGATCTCTTTTTAGTCACATGCACCTGTCCTAATGGGACGTTACGAGGGGAAGGGGCGGGGCAGACAGGAGCGCGGCCGCCTCTGCCCTGAGCTCGGCCAGGCGGGATAGTCTGGCCTGCACCGCTGGAGGGATCAGGGGCCCAGGCTCGGCCCGGCGTGCTAGGCCCCGCTGCCGGGCCTCCAGCATGCCCAGCGTGGCCTGAGCCCTCGCCGAGGAGACCACGTTGCTGGGACTGCATGGTGGGGTTTGGCAGGGAATGGACATGTTTGGGATGGCCACTTGCACCATGCACATCACCACTTGGTCTGGGGAGACGCAATGGGCTGGGGTCTTTGGGGAGAAGCACATGGGATGCGAGGTCTTGCACATTCACCCCAAAACCTGGGTACCCACATCCAGTCAAGTCCAGATCCAAGAAAGCAAGGACCCTTGAACCCTAGAAGCCCCAGCTGGCAAGCGATTACCCATCCCACCACCCCAACACCCGCCATGCCTTGCATCTCGTCGATCCCTGGCCATGTCGCCCAGCAGCGCAGCCGCGACCTTCTGCAGCTCTTCAAGGCGCCCTAGAGCCTCCTTGACTTCTTGCCGTGGTGGCGGCTCTGGCAAGCTGAGTGCGGCGCCCTCGGACCATTCAGGGACTTGCAGCTCTGGCATGCAGCGTCGGAGGTGGATGTGGAGCTCTGTGGCGGTTCGCGCCTGGCTCGGGTCCTGATGGAAATCTGTGGATGCGTGGATGCCTGACTCGCCGTGCTCTTTGCTTGAAGGGGATCGCTTCACAAAAGGGGACCAGCAGAGGTTTGGCGGACTCCTTGGTGCCGCATCACCAGGTGCGATCGTCCCAGATGCAGCCTTCGGTAGGGGTGTCCCTTGCCTGGCCGCAGCGTCGTGCAGGGAGGCTTTGGGAGGGGCAGGCAAGCGGCAGCGCCTGGGTCGGCTCACAGGTCTGGCCTCTTCGCTCCCTGACGAGGTGCACGTTGGCGCAGTGCTGGCGGGGGGAAGAGGCCGGGACGCCTTGGGCGGAGGTGTCCAGAGTGAGGCCGAGGCTGCACTGGGTGCCACAAAGGGACGATACCTGCTGGCTCGTACCACCGTGCTGCCGGCTGAGTCTCGCGGGGTGGGACGGCTCAATGGACTGAAGGTTGTCGGGGGCCGCATGGCAGGGCTGGAGGCAGAAGGCGTCGATGATGTGGCAGCCGATCTCGCCTGTGTACAGGGGTAAAATCAGGGGGTCCGCACGACAACGGAGGGGCCCTGGACATGGTGGAAGCACTGTCTCAATCCCTTGCAGTCACACATCCCCCTATCGGCACTATACGACGAACCTTCCTCTCCAGTCGACCAGCCAGGGAGCTGGCGAAGCCGGGAGACTCTGCGTGTGTGCCCTTTTCCGGTGTCATAACGCTCTATTGACAGGGCTTGAAAACATGAGTTTGTCCCATAGATCCCGTGGATGGCAACTAGAGTCACCTATCGGATTTTCCAAGCTGGACGACCGCACCAGAGTCGTGTAGTCGATGAGACCATCGGCATTTTGCATCCAGGGCGCGGTAGAGAGCGCGCGCGCAAACGTCGGGATACTTTTGCATGGCGAGCGACTGCTTCCTCCCGATTTATGGACCTGAGCTTCAAGATTCTTGACTGCAACAAGCTTTTCAGCTATAATAGCATATAGGTCGGCATATCGCGGTGTGTCTGGCGTGACCAGAGCTGGGCACAGGCACTCCCCAGTCGCCGGGAGGTGACTCGACCATGGCCCGCCAGCCAGGTCCATCTAGGGACGCAGAAGCGTTTCCTGAGCCCGAAACGGTGGAATTTGGCTGGAATGACGACCGTAAGGTGTCAGGGCGTCGCAAGAAGCTGCAACACAAGGCCAAGCCCGGCAGCTTTGGTGAGCCGGGGCCTGCCGAGCGTGCTGAAGTGTCAAAAATGAGAGCCATTGCCTCGTGGCTGGGCACCTTCTGAAAAGTACTCATGGACAGGGAATCCAGACAATATGGCACTCAGAGGATCCCCCACCCCTCCCCACCCACATATATCTCCCCACCCACAATCCCACCCCCGTACAGAGACCATGGGGCTCTCCGAGACGGTCCTGCGCGGCATCAAGCGCAAAGGCTACCGCCTGCCCACCCCCATCCAGCGCAAGTCGGTACCACTGGTACTGCAGGGCCTGGACGTGGTGGGCATGGCGCGCACCGGCTCCGGCAAGACCGCCGCCTTCGTGGTGCCCCTGCTGGAGAAGCTGCGGGCCCACTCGCCCAGCACGGGCACACGTGGTTTGATCCTGGCCCCCACCCGCGAGCTGGCCCTGCAGACGCACAAGGTGGTCAAGGAGCTGGGAAGGTACACCGACCTGCGCACCGCCTGCCTCGTGGGCGGCGACTCCATGGAGGCCCAGTTTGCAGAGCTGGCATCCTTCCCGGATGTCATCGTGGCCACCCCAGGTGCGACAGGATGGTCGTGCTGTTGAGAAACTGGGGACCGGGAGTATTGAGAAGGCGCGGGCTGGCACTCATCCAGGGACCCTGAGGCTTTGATGTCCAAGCTCTTGGCACCAACCCCTTTCCGTGGCTCACACCCTCCCCAACTCATGCGCCCATTGGGGCCTCACTGCAAGCGCAGGCCGCCTCATGCACCACCTGCAGGAGGTGGATGGCTTCTCTCTTTCCTCCATCTCCTACGTGGTGTTTGACGAGGCCGACCGCCTGTTTGAGATGGGGTTTGCGGAGCAGCTCAAGCAGGTGCAGCACGGTTGGTGGGGCGGAGTGTGCACCTCCGCGGGTCATCTGTGTGGTGAAGGCTTGACCTGGGGCCCACCTGCACCTCTGCCAGGCCTGGGCCGCAGGCGTCGTGCTGCAGTCTGCACCGGTTGCAGAGCAGTCCTCCTGGAATCCTGCCGTCGCTGACCATGCTGGGTCTGTGCGTCCCTTGCCCAAGTCGTCTGGCACGACCCAACGCACCTGGACTCCACCCCCCCCACCTTAAACCTTCCCCCCAATCCCCAGATCCTGGCGGGCATGCCATCCGGCCGCCAGACGCTCCTTTTCTCGGCCACCATGCCAAAGGCACTGGCCCAGTTTGCACGCGCAGGGCTGAAGACCCCGGAGCTGGTCAGGCTCGACACGGACACCAAGATCTCCCCGGAGCTGTGCACCGCCTTCTTCACCGTCAGGTGTTGTTTTTGTTGTTCAGGAGATGCCTGGGGTGCAGAGCAGGGTTTGTAGTTTGCTTTCACCCAAGCGCCAGCACGACGTAGCATTCCTCTCAGTGCCTCGCTCTACACTGGCCCTCCCCTCTTCTTCACTCACCCTCTAGTTAGCCCCATTCCCTCCCATGCCCTCTCAACCCCCTTCTCACCGTATCTATTTCACCCACCACACCGCTTGCAGGGCGGAGGACAAGACGGCGGCCCTGCTCTTCCTGGTCAGAGAGCTCATCCCCTCGCACCAGCCCACGGTGGTTTTTGCCGCCACGCGGCACAGCGTGGAGTTCCTGGTGGGCCTGCTGGAGGCGGAGGGCATAGAAAGCGCGCACGTGCACGGCGCCATGGATCAGATGGCCCGCAAGATCCACATCGCCAAGTTCAGGGCGGGGCGCGTCAACCTGCTGGTGGTCACCGACGTCGCGGCGCGTGGCCTGGACATCCCCCTGCTGGACAACGTCATCAATTATGGTGAGGGGCCGCGGAAGTGCATGCGGGGCGTGCGGGTGGGGAGGGGTCCCTGCTCGGGCCGGGAGGGTGCATGGACTTGCGGGGGCCCTGTGCCAACCCCCCCCACCCCAATGCCCCCAGATTCAAGCTGTCACTGCCACTGCTCTCTCCCACACACCCACACCCCTGCAGACTTCCCGCCCAAGCCCAAGCTGTTTGTGCACCGGACGGGGCGTGTTGCTCGTGCAGGGAGGCCCGGCACAGCCTACTCCTTGGTCACCAGGTGCTGAGCATGGGGGTTGGGGTGAGGCAGCATGTATTGCAGGATGTGCTGGTCATGCACTCAAGCAACTCGATGGGACTGCGGTTGGGACCATTCTTTGGAGCGCAGCCATTCCCAGAAGTATGGCCAGCTGCATGAGCGTGGTAAGCCCTCAAGAGGCCCTTCCTCGCTCAACTCTTTGTTACAGGGACGAGATCCCGTACCTCCTGGACCTCCACCTCTTCCTGTCGCGGCCGTTGTCAGTAGCCCCTGTGCGGGCCATTGGCGAGGCGGCCGAGGCGGTCATGGACCCCAGCGTCTCCCTGCTGGGCGCCTTCCCGCAGGTGCGTGGCTGGGCAGGGGTGGGAAAGTTGCATGCCCGGCAGCTGGAAGTGGCGCGCATCGATCTGATGTTCTGAGGATGGATGCAGCTCGGCAGCAACCCGTCGGTTATTGGAGCACTAGAGGGCTCCAGAAGGCTTCAGAGGGGGCCCTCGCTCTCATCGGCCGCTTCCCAACCCCCTCTCACTCCACTCCCTACATGAACAGACGGCACTGGACCTGGAGGTGGAGAGGGTGCGCGCCGCCATCGCCTCCTCGTACGACTTGGCGGGCCTCCAGAAGCCCTGCGAGAACGCATTCAAGTTGTACCTGAAGACTCGGCCCCCCGCCGTCCCGGAGAGCATCAAGAGGGCCAGGACCCTGCCCAGGGTGAGACGCTGGGTCAGGAATGGGCAAGCAGCAATCCCTGGACCTGCATTCTGTGGTGCTGCTTGTGATGATGCGGTGTACTTGACAGTGCGCGTGAGGCCTGCCTTCAGGGGATGTGTTCGGGATCCCTGTTTCCACACCACAAACCAGTCTCATGGGCCCCCCTCTGCGCAGGAGGGAATGCACCCCCTGCTTGCTGCGGCCATCCCCTCGGCTGCACTGGGAGGCATGGAGGCCCAGGTGAGGCAGGGGTGGTTGGGCGAACGACGCGGCATGCCCAGGAGCATGCGCTCTGATGCTCAATCAGGAGCGGCGACACGTTTTGCACAGGAATGGCAGCCAGTACACGCTTTACGCCCCTCCCGTCAAACTCTGCAGGAGTCCCTGGCAGCTTTCACCTCTGCCTTGAAGAGCTATCGGCCGTCACAGACCGTCTTTGAGGCGGAGATGGCGCCGGCACGCCGCGGCGAGGGCGCCGGTGAGTTCCAACCCGTGGGCTGTCGGGGCTGCTCGGGGTGCGGCGTAGATCTACCGAGCTGCATTGACGGCCTGCTGTCCAGTGCTGGGACGTGTCGAAACAACCAGATTTCCAGCTCTCGGTGTCAAAGAAGACTGCGAGGGCCTTCTCAGAGCAACAGTGTACACCAGAACACGTGTGCTTGCTGCCATGTGCCTGCCTCTCCCCCTCAAACCCACCTTGCCTCGACCTCCCCCCCCAGGCGCCACTGCCATCCCCGGCGTGTCGGCCTTGGCCCCCGGGGAGAAGCTGGTGGAGGTGATGCGCGTGAAACGAGCGGCGCACACCAGCACCATCTCCGCCACCAAGCGACAGCGGGAGCTGGACGCCGAGGAGCGCGCCGCTGATGTCGGTGGCGCAGAGGCGGGGGCGGTGCTGGCCACGGCGCCCGCCTCCAAGCGCCTGAGCCTGGTACCAGAGACGGAGGCTGCCGGGGGCCGGTACAGGGAGGAGGGCTTCTACGTGAGCCATGTGCCGGGGGAGGGGGAGCGGGAGGAGTCCTTCTACGCTGCAGCAGAGGCCGGCCAGTTCAACGACGCCGTGCTGGACCTCACCGCAGAGGATGCAGGTGAGGGTGAGGGCTTACAGGTGGCTGGTGAGGGAGGGAAGCAGGCGGGGACAGCCCCACCTGGTGCTTGGGGAGGGGGAGGTGGAGTGAGGGGAAGGAGGATTCCACCAAATCCAAAAAGTCCATGACACTGGCCGTGCCCTTCTCGAGAGAGGTGACTGGCTCAAGGCCTTTTGAAGGGGTGGGAGGGTGGGATGAATTCCCAGCCCCTGGGCGACCAGCATACCCCTGACTCCTGCAGCCCCATCCCCCCCAACCGTCCCTCCATCCCTCACTGCAGCCGGGATGCGGTCCCAAAAGTCGCAATACCACTGGGACAAGCGCAGCAAAAAGTACGTCAAGCTCCAGGCAGACGAGACGGTCAAGGCGGGGCGCCGCATCCCAGGGTCAAAGGTGAGGTTTTGTGTTGGGCGGATGTCGTTTGGAAGGCATGGTACTCAAGGGTTGGCTGCTGTACTGTCTGAATTTCTGTCGAGATACTGGCAAAGACATGGTGCTTTCAAGAGCAGCCTACTCTCCGCCCGGCACCAGGAGCATCAGCCAGCATACCAAGTGCCTGCACCCCATGCGCAGAGTGGTGGCAAGGGCAAGAAGGAGGAGGGTTCTGGGCTGTACAAGAAGTGGGCGGCAAAGAACAAGATGCAGGTGGCTGGGCCTAAGGAGGCAGCTGGAGCGGCAGCCCTGGCCAAGCAGATGGGTGAAAGGTGCGAGGGAGAGTTGTGAGGGGAGGGCATGGCTGTGAGCAATGATTGTGTAATGCTTGCGAGTGCCTGTGGGGATGGCGCAGAGTCTGTGCCCTGCGGTGCTGTGGAGAGGGTGCCTTGCCGACACCCCACGGACCAGGCCGCCAGCCTGCAACCCGCTGTGCACCGGCCATGCTTCGGAGGCATCGGGCGCATTGTAACCCCTCGCGCGCACCGGGAACCCACGCTCGAACACCCATTGACCGCCCCTCCAGGTTCAAGCGCGGCGGGCGCGGCTGGGTGAACCCCCTGAAGCCCGAGGCCGGCGGCGACGATCCCCGGGCGCGCGACGAGATCAAGAACCCGGAGCAGGTCCGCAAGCAGCGCAAACTAGACGAGCGCATGCGGGAGCGGCAGCAGGGTGGGCGGGGCGGACGGGGGGGGGGCCTCTAGCAGGGGCCGGGGGGTTGGTTCCAGCCGAGGGCGGGGCGGCAGCAGCCGCGGCGGCGGCAGCAGCCGCGGCGGCGAGCGAGGCGGCGGCGGCTCCAAGCCAGCCAGCCGGGGCGGCGGCAAGTTTGGAGACCGGCGCCCGGGAGGCGTGCGTGGCGGCGGCGTCAGCAAGCCCGCCAGCAGCCGTGCGAAGGCCTCTGGTCGGGGCGGGTCCAGCAGCCGAGGCGGGTCCAGCAGTCGGGGAGGGTCCAGCGCTCGTGGAGGCGGCCGGGGCGGGGGCCGGGGCCGGCGATGATGCTCTGCACTCTCGCCGATGTGCTGCTGTCATGCAAATCACTTGGTTGGGGACTGTCAGCCCCTCTATGTCTCATCAATGTACATGGTGGTTGCATGAAGGTAGTGGCAGTCAGCGAGACCTCAGGAAAAAGGGCGGGTCCAGGGTGGCCTTGCAACTCTCTCGGTATCAGAGTGCGGTCGTCGTCAGCCAACCAAGGGCAGGTGAGCAATGGACGCCAGTAGGAATGTTCCCTGGCGCCCAGCACGAAGTCTACTCCGTCCCTCCCCGACGCCTTCCGGACCCCCTTTTCTACTTGCGCCGGCGGTTGGTGGCCACGTGCTTTCGCTCATTGGGGTTGTGCTTCCAGCCCGCCAGCAGCGCGGCCGCGCCCTTGTCCGCCATGGCCCCCAGACCCGCAGCCTGGTGCCAGGTGTCGGTGGTGTACTCGGCCGCAAAGGGATCCACCTCGCCCTCCGCCTTGCGCGCCGCGCGGCGCCGCGCCTTCCCCGTGCGCTGCATCAGCACGTCCTCGGCCAGGATCACGTCCTTGGCCCGCCCGCCACGCGGCTTGGGCAGCGCGAAGCGCGTGCCGCGCAGGACGTGCCGCTTGCGCACGCCGTACTGCTCCACGCCCTCGGGCGAGACGCTGACGTGGACGCGCTCCATGGCGGCGTTCCCGCAGCGCGCACAGAACACGCGGCCCACCTCCTTGGACACCTGGAAGCAGGCGCCGCAGCGCAGGACCCAGCGCGACAGCCGCGTCACGCGGCGGTTGTCGGGAGTGACCAGCCGCAGGCCCATCTGCAGGATCACGTTCTGCATCGCAAAGTCGGCGGTCAGGACGCAGACCGAGGAGGCGGCGGCGGGGGAGGGGCCCGCATCGTCCCCGCTCTGGCTCCGGGCCTCCGCCTCGCACCCCTCGCCCTCCTCGTCCCCGCTCTCCTCCCCGCCACTGCTGCTGCCGCTGCACTCCGCCTCCTCGGCGGCCGCCGCGGCGGCCGCCGCCTCGCGCTGCGCGTGCCGGATGGCCCGGCGCCGCTGCCGTCGCGCCTTGTTGGGCGTGGCGGCGGCTGTGGTCCACTCGCCCTCCTCGGCGTCCTCCCTGTCGCCGTCGTCGTCAGAGGAGTCGTCGCCGCCACTGCTGGAGCCCGCCGCCACGGCCGCCTCGGCCAGGGCCCGCGCCGCTCGAGCGGCCTCAGTGTCGCCGTCCGCGGTCTCCCTTTCCTCCAGCGCCAGCGCCTGCATCTGGGCGGCCACATGGCTGCCCGTCCCCGCCGCGGCGGCCAGCGCCTCCTGTTCGGCGGCCTCCTCGGCGGCGTTCAGGCGCTCCATCTCCGCCCAGTTCTCGCCGCCCTCGCCCCAGCCGGGCAGCGTGCGCGTCTCCTTCACGCGCCGAGAGACGATCTTGAGTGGGGGGGGGAGGTCCCGCACGCGCCTGGGGCCGTGGCGCGCGATCTCCAGCATGCGGGTCAGGGCAATCAGCCGCACGTCGGCGCTGGACAGGGCATGCGCGTCGCCCGTGGCCCGGGCAAAGCGCAGCACTGTGGATGGAGGGGCGGGGAGGTTGTGGGCTTGATGCAGGAACACACATGTGCCGGCGAGCACCGGCCGAGGAATGTTTTTGGGTGGGGATCCCGAGGTCAAAGGACTGGGGCGCTGGCCGGCCACCTGCCACCCCCCCCCGCCAGCAGCAGGGCTCTCCGCCTTGGCATGCCGATTTTAGCAGAGCACACGAACCAATCGCCGCCTCCTCCACGCCCCATGCACATTCCCCCTCTCCCCGCCCAACATTGCATACCCGCTTTGACGTCCTCCTCAGCAGGCTCTGTTGCCTCCAGGGTGTAGGGCAGAGCCTCCAGGGTGGCACGTGACTTTTTGTCACGCACCTCCGCAAGCACCTCGGGAGTGGTCACTGCACGGTTGGCCAGCTTGGCCAGGAGGAGCAGCCCCTGCCCCGAGATGATGGCATTGGCATCCAGCACCGCCACATCCACCGACTCGTCCGGGCCTATGTCGGTGCTGGGGATTGCAGGCGCCGCTTTCTTGGCTATGGAAGCCCAGCTCATGGTCTTAGCGTGGGCTGGGCAGTGGTGAAGGGCTTCCCTGCTGCAAGGTGGTGCGGTGGTGCAGACCCCGACTGGTGCTTCGCTGTGGACGGCGGCACCGAGACGGTCGTGGGGGGGAGTTCGCAAGCACCCCAAAACAGTACGGATAGTTCATATATAATCGATTATCTCATGACATGTTTAATATGATGTTGTAGCTTGTAATGCCGCCACGGTCCGTCGTGGTGATTTCGTCGATGTGGCGCCAGCGCCTTATTTTGGTCCGGGAAGTGCGACTGAGCGCTTGGTCAAGGGTCTGGTTCGCGAGAAGTGCACAAGTACCGGCCCTAGCATACCGAGGCTAGGTACGAAGCTGTTCCGCGTAAACTTCTGATTTAGAAGAATCGTACGGAACCCTTGACCGTTGCGTGTTGTGGAGGAGAGGCTTGACCTCTGAGGACGCCACCTTTGGACGATAGAAGTGATGGTCTTAGAAGGCGCATTGAATGGCTGGAGACGTCCAATGCATGTTGGCTACATCTTATGAAAGTTGTAGCCAGCACACTTTGGTGCATGATTCGATCGTCTCGTCCAGCCAGGGTGCGTGAAGTCGGTCGGCAGGACCTACTTATATGTCGGATCCCATGGGCAATCACGAGGCGATAGCACATGACTCTGCATTTCCAGACCGGGTTAGTTGCTTATGGAAGGCATATTTCCATCGATCCGAACCCCTTCCCCATGGACCTCCCTTCCATGACCATTCTCGGCCATGGTCACGTCGGGGCAGTTCAACACCACACAAACAACAACGCGCGAGGGTACGATCCACATACGTCCTTGCCGCATAATTTCCTCCACATTACTTGCGTTACAATCGCATCCCACACCCCTTGACCATTCTTGGAAGGACACAGTCAAATAAGTCGCGCATTACCCGCGATCTTGGCCAATGAATCTAATGGGCTCGGTTAAGTCCACGCTCCGTGGGGTCGGTCTGCTGCCCACAGCTCGCCAGGACGCAGCTATCACCCGCGTTTCCACCAATCCAGCCTCACAAAACCATGCCGAAGCGTTGAGCTCCTCGCAGAGGGGTCGGACAAGCCCGCGACCCTCTGCAAAAGTGCACGCCATTGCGGAAGGCCACATGGTGGCGCCACCAACACACACCGAGACGGACCGCGTAGATGAGCGGGAGTGGGCGGAGTTCCTCAAGTCCTTTACATCCCTGCACCAGGAGAGGTCATACTGGGTGCCTGATGCCCAGGTCGAAGGTCAGTCCACGCAACATGGATGTGGAGCGGCAGGATGTGCACGGCTACCCTGTTGGCATGTAGGGTCTTGGAGACATGCGATGCATGGACATCTCCTTGCATGCTGCCATAAAGCTGCAACAAAATATCTATCATACACAGGCACAATCCCTAAGGAATTGGAGGGGACCCTCCTCAAGAATGGACCCGGCCAGTTTGAGATTGGGGGGCAGAAGGTGGCGCACCCCTTTGATGGGGACGGCATGGTAGCCGCCTTTGCCTTCAAGGAAGGCCGCTGTTTCTTCAGCAACCGATTCGTGCGCACCAAAGGTGTGCCAGGGGGTGTGGTTCATGTTGGATGCAAGTTTGTTACACGCCGACTCAGATCCTGGTCAAGGTGCTTGCAGTGTCCGCTCCATGCAGCAAGCTGCTTCTCGCTAGCGCCACACAACAATGCTACCAGGATGCTTGGCCTCCAACACAAGGCCCCCTCCCCCCATGATCTTCTCACACACCCATCCAACACATGCAGCCTATACCGAGGAACAGCGGGCGGGGCGCATGCTGTACCGAGGCGCATTCTCGGCTGGCAACCCCGGCGGAAAGGGTTTCTTTAACCCCTTCAAGCTTGATGTGAAGGGCATCGCCAACACCGGCGTGGTTCGCTGGGGTGGGCGTACTCTCGCCCTCTACGAGGTGGGTGCCCTGGATGTGCTTGAGGCATGCTCGTGCGCGCTGGTACGGGCACCCAAGATCCCAGGTCCGGCTAGAACCTAGCTTCCATAGGCCTTGTCCTCTCTTGAACCCTTCCTCACTTCATGTCAATGACAGAGGGACATGCCCTATGAGCTGGAGTCTCCAGACCTCCAGACCCTGGGAACTACAGATGCCGACGGGGCGCTCAAGGATACAGACCCCTACTTTGGGGCGCACTATCGCATCACCACCGACGCTGGTGGGCTGGACGTGCTGTGCGGTCATGCCCTTGTGGGAAGGGCTGGTTGGCTTCCTTGCCCTGCTTTATCTCTATCACTGATTTCCTTGTGCTTCTACTCTTTCATCCGAGCTGGCAGCTCATCATGTGCACACTATCCGGTAGTGCAGATGGAAAGCGGACGCTGATTGGCTTCTCTTCCTCAGAGGTCGGCAGCCAGAACCGACTGACCGTCTGGGAGTTTGATGAGGACTTCAACCGTTTGACAAGAACCCAAGAGGTCTTCAAGGTAGGGGGTTGCGCTGAGCAAACTGACCTGAATGGAGTGAGATTGGCCTCTGTGGTCTCAGGCCCTGTGGCTCTGTTGGCTGATTGACCTCCCAACGCTTGGGTTGGGCAGTCATTGCTTGCGTCACCAGCCACCACCCCTGGTGCTTACCTCCTTCTCCCCATCGCCCCCCCCTTCAGGGTGCATTCGGGTTCTACCACGACTTTGCGATGACCGAGAAACACTACGTTTTCTTACAGAACCCAATCCGACTGAACTTGTACAAGTTCGTCACCCAGTACATGCTGGGAAAGGCCGGCGTGGCAGGTGGGCAGGCTGAGCTTGACCCTGGGGGTGCTTGGAAGACCTTCCAGCTTCTTGTGGAATTGGTTTAACAGTGACGATCCAGTGCTGAAAGTTTGCTGCCCAAAGACAAGTGTCGAGGAATGAATGACAGTCCTTTTGGTCCTCGTCTCTCCCATGCATCCGACATCCCCCCTGTCCTCGCAGAGTGCCTGGAGTTTGATACCAGCCAGAAGAGCCTCATCCATCTCATCCCCAGGCCTGGAAAGGGCGGCATGCGAGGTATGTGGAGGCTGAGCACCTGTTGTTTTTGGGCATCTGCGAATGTGCTTTGACAAGATGCCTTCAGGTTCTGGGGTGGGACAGAATTGTAATGATCACGACATGTGTAGGAGATTGCCTGTTGCATGCTGTGGGCGCGCCCATCATGTCCACTGATTGTGTACGTCACATCATCCCCCTCATACTACCACCGTAGGAACCTATGAGACAACGCCATTTTTTGCATTCCATCACTGCAATGCCTTTGAGTCTGCCGACGGCAAGACCCTGATCCTCGACACCGTGGCGGAGCTCAAGGGTGTTATCTTTTCGTAAGTGTTGATGCTGGCTGATTGCCTCATTGTGGGCCTGGAATACTGATTCTGATCCTGATGCTGTGCGCTGGCAGGCAATCCCCACTCATCCCAGCTTCTGATATTGATAACAGGGCCAAGGTGGAGGGACCTGACACCGTCTATGGGCGTGAAGAGAACCGTGGGTCCCTCACGCGCCTCTCCATCAATCTGGCCTCGGGCAAGGTACCGTTTGGCTGCTGTTGCATACATGATGGCCTTGCTCAATGATGTCACAGGTCTTTCTTGGGGGTGGGGCACCTGCTTGGCTAGAAGTAAGCATGGTGGGCTCTGCAAATCCATCATCAGCTTCATTCTGGCATGTGCAGGTGGACCAGCGTGTGCTCATCGATAGGTCTGTCGAGTTCCCGTCCGTGGCTTCCACGGTCGTGGCCAAGCCTCACCGCCACATATACATGGTCGGGGATAGGTTCAACTCGCCAGACACTTGGGGCCCTGTCCAGGTCAGTCTGGCTTGGGGAGAGGTTGTATGTGCTAGTGGAGTTGCCATGAGGGGCTGACATGGAATGCCCCCCCACCTGCAGTATACAAGGGGAGGGGGTGGTGCTGGGTGGGAGTGATGGTTGTTAGCATTCCATGGCTGACTTTGACTTCCCCTGTGGACTGCCACACTGAGCTCCCGACGACG